TACAATGTTTCTAGGCATGGACTATGTATGAAAGCAACCAGAGTCTAGGTTTGGTGGATCCAACCCTAGTTGACTTTGATGAAAATGAAGCTTTAAGAACAATAAGAATGGGACTCCTGTGCACCCAGGCATCACCAATGATGCGACCACCCAGGTCAAGGGTTGTAGCTATGCTTACTGGGTATATCGAAGTGAGGCCTGTTGCATCAAAACCAAGTTATATAACTGACTGGGGTTTTAAGGACAAAACAACCAGCTTCGAGGCTAAACCCTCGCCATCTACTAGATCTGAGCGCAGTAATAAACACGAACACGAAGAATCTTAATCCAGAGATGGAGCTGGAGGCTTCTCCATTGAATATCACTAAATTCAGTGACATTATTGGGAAAGGAAGGTGACAGATGTTGTTCAAGCTCCATTTTGCTACTTCTGTTTCTACCTCTGCCACTTATTTTTCAGCTCCATTGGTAGATAGTGAAATTGCATGAATTTCTGCCATTCATAGCATTTATATGTTGATCATTTCTGTGTGTAAATTGAACTAGACATCAAAATATGAGCATGCAATAAGGTTGCAGTGTTTGTAACTTACGGATGTCATTCCTATCATGTTGTAATATACTTCAAAGCTAGGGAATTGTTGACAATTTTTTATCTTTTAAGGTATGTTGGATAATAAATCATACAACAAAAAAAAAAAATAGTTATCTTTTCTATAGGTGTTCTTATCTTATTCAATCCGTTTGATTCGACTTAAATTTATCTAATCTAATAAAAATCAAACTAAGTTGGTATAAAATTGAGTCGATATGGATTATAAAATTTTAAAATCGATATAATTGGTTTGGTTTATAATTTTATCTTTAAATTGTTCGAACCACTTGATTATAAAGTAAAATTTAATTATAAGATAACTTAATTAAATAATACAATATAATTTTGAAATATTTTAAATTTTTTTTTTTTATAAGATGATAACTCCATTAATTTAATTAAAAAAATAAAAATAAAATATCTCCATATTTTTTAATTTATTTTCTTTTCTAAATGGTGCACTTTAATTCTAATTCTAAATTTTCAATTCATCTACAACTCTATCCCTTAAAATTAGTCTACGACTTTACTTTTAAAATCTTAAATTTTTAATTTATTCTTAAAGTAATATTCTGACTCTCCTCACTAAATTTTAGGAAGTATTATTTTAGAAGTCTTAAAATTATATAAGATAACTAATTTTGATATTCTATTACTTTTGGATGTTGTTTAGTCGAGGAATTTTAAATCTTAATTATGAATGCTTTTAATAATTTCTAATAACATTCATATTAAATTTTATTTACTTTTAATAGGATTTGGAAGATGAGATTAAATCATCTGGTGCATTAAGAAAAAAAAACTAATTTTAATCTTTTAAGAATTATTTGCATTATATTTAAAACTTAGAATCATCCTTTGTTATCCTTAGTGGCTCTAGTGATGAAGTAAAAAAGAATTTTCATATCTTTTTAATCTTTACAATTGTAAATGAGTATAAAAACTTATATATTATTTGTGCACTTTATTATGTTTCTAATGATTTAGATGTGTGAATGTATTTTATAGTTATGTTTCCTACTTAATGTTAAAATTTTTTATATCATCTCAGATATTTAATAGTATTAAAATCCTATCAATCCAACTGAATCACATTAATCTTATTTAAGTTGGATTAGTTTGATTATCATATAATAATGAATTTGATTGATCTAAAAATTTTATTCATTAATTAAATTAAATTAATTTAAAAAAAATATTAGAATCTGAATCAAATCACACTGCAAACACTCATAATCTTTTCTAAACCCCTCCAACGTAGCAATTCCATGTAACTTAATTATGCATTTTTTTTCTTAAGGTTTTTCTTTTCCCTCTTTGTTTTTATAAAATAGCAATAGAATAATTACAATATTATCTAAAATTGTAAGTTATAATATAATATTAAATATGTGATGTATCATTAAATGAGTTAATATATATAATATTATCAATACATTCTTGAGTGAAATAAATTAATAATATAATAAAAAATTATATTGTAAAATTATAGTACTATATAATATTATATCTATATCATTTTCAATTATAAAAACACCTCTTTTGATTTTGCTTTTTTTTTTATTGCCTAGACATCTGGCGCACTTTGGTTCGTGAACCTTTTTTTTCAATTTTTTTGCTAATACCTAACACTTGTTGAATGCAATTTACCTTTTACTTTAATTTCACATTTT